AGAAGGGCTCCGAACGCTGCTGCTCCCAGCTGCTCCCAGGCATCAGCAAAGCCAGCCGCCCCTCGTGGCCCTTTGGAAAGTGCTCTGAACTGTGGACCACATCTATGTTAAATCGAGTAGTTGCTCTCCCCTTCCAGGGGCCTTCTCTTTCCTTCGCAGCACCATTTCAAATCTGTCTTCATTTATTCTGTATTATCTGCCTCCCCAGGCTCAGCGCCATTAAAATGGGCAGCTGCTGGCTTTGCAGGAGCAAAGGGTGTGTACTGAGAAGACTGCAGAAAACAGGGAGACTAAGCACTAAGCAGATGACAGACAGCATCAAAAAGGACAGACAGAGACATCTGGATTCCGAGGAAGTAGCACCACATTGCTCAACTCCAAAGGCAGCACCTGCATTGCAGGCTGTGACTGCCCTGTGCACACAGTGCAAGGGAGTGGTAGAAGCTGCTTCCTGAAGTTGCACAACAGAGGCCTGAATAGAAGACCCTACAGGGTCCCCGTGGTTTCACTGAGCACCTACTATGCACAATATCCTGAGCTGGGCACATGTTCCAGAACCTGGGAGAGTTCAAGGCACATTCCGCTGCTATATCACGTGCCCCTTCGTCCCAACCCTAGTCCACCACTTTCACCTGGCTAGCCCTCCCCCTTCCTTCTCCTGCTCTCAGATACGGCTTCTCTTCCCCCAGAAAGCTTTCTCTGACATCCAGGTTGGGTTTATTCATTCAATCCCTTGACAGGCTTTTGTTGCTCCCCTGCTAAGTGCCAGGCGCTGTACTGAGCACACAAGAGGTGCCCTTCCTGGGGGTTCCCTCAGCATCACATGACCCCCTGTATAATAGCACTTACCACACTGTGTTATAATAGTGTATTCACTGCTATGTCTCTTCTACTAGACTGTGAACTCCTTGAGACCAAGGACTCTATTTTATTAAATCGTGCCTTTCTAGAACATCAAAAAAGAAAAAAGAAATTGGCAACTGCTTCAGAGCAAAGGGCATGTGTGCCTGTTCCCCTCTTGGATCCTTGGCGTCAGAACAGTGCCTGGCACCCAGATGGCACTCAGTGGACGAACATTAGATGAAGGAATCCGAAGAGTGCTTATAGGACCTGATGAGGAAATCTTCCATGCCCAGTGACTGGACAAACTTGGTCTATAAATCTGAACGGGGGCTTCCCTGGTGGCGCAGTGGTTGAGAGTCTGCCTGCCGATGCAGGGGACACGGGTTTGTGACCCGGTCCGGGAGGATCCCACATGTCGCGGACCGGCTGGGCCCGTGAGCCATGGCCGCTGAGCCTGCGCGTCCGGAGCCTGTGCTCCGCAACGGGAGAGGCCACAACGGTGAGAGGCCCGCATACAGCAAAAAAAAAAAAATCGGAACGGGAACACTGTGTAGACACGTGCATGAGGATGCATGCTTTATGAACGGGTTCTTCTGGAGAAGGAAAGCTTTTAAAAAAGTGCCCAAGAACCATCAGCCGGTGGCCCGATAACGTCCAGGGGAACGCGGTGAGGTGCTAATAGTTCATCCTGGGGGGAGCAAAGGCGGACCAGAAGAGGTGAGCCAGACACTGCCTGAGCCAGGCACAGAAAACGCAGGAACCTCTAGCCTGGAGTATGAAACAAGCTAGGAAGAGACAGTATGTCAAAGGCCCTGGACGGAATAGGAAGAAAATTATTTTCCTTAGGCAGATTCTAGGCAGCTGAGATCTGTGTTGGTACGAGATAGCTCTGCTGACAGAAGCTTCAATCAGAGGTTGACTTGTCTTGTAAGCTGACACCTTAAATAGAAACCTTTGCCTTTGAGGAAGTCAGGATGCCTGGTGGCTGGTGAGGTCTCAGGACAGGAAGATTCAGCAATTGTCTGAATGCTTAAAACTGAAGCTATCTGCTCCCTGATCTTATTTTGGAAATACTTACAACACAGCATTGTTCACTGAATCGTGACAACAAAATCTCACATTTGGTTTTGTGACCAGCTTATCAGTGTGTGGCATCTGCCCCCTGGTGCTGTGTTGGTGAGGTGCGTGGTCCTCACTCCCCTGCGACACAGTTTTCACTGTGGCTGGAGTCCGAGGCGGGCTGGCTCCACACGGCCCCATTTTAACTACCACGCAAGCTCCCAGAGTGCACGCCTGTGTGGTGTGCGGAGAGCTTTCCTGAGCCGCCTGAGTCTCCATTCTTGTCTGTGAACTGGAGACAACAATATCACACTGTAGAGTCACTGTGAGGATCAAGTGAGATAACACAAGGAAGTGCTCAGCACCCCAGGCGGCACCTAGAAGGCTGCTCTCACGGGCCTAAGAAAGACAGGACTAAGCACGACTTACTGGCCTTAAGTTCTTATGGTCCGTAACTGGAACTTATCTGCTGCCGGTCAGCATGTAAAGTGGTATAACCACTTTGGAAAACTGTGTCGGTATCTATTAAAGTCAAATATATCCCCATCCTATGAGCCAGGAATTCTACTCCTGGGTATATCTATATACCCCAGAGAAGTGAATGTCCACCTAAGGGTACAAGAAAGTTAACAGCTATATTGTTCACAATAGCCCCAAACTGGAAACAACCCAAATGTCCTTCAAGTAGAAGGGTTAAATTGTGGTATATTCATTTAATGAAATATACATAGCAATGAAAATGAGGAAATTTTTGCAACTCACAACAACATAGATGATTCTCACTAGCATAATGTTGAACAAAAGAAGCCGGACACAAAAGAGCAAATACTGTATGATGCCATCTATAAAAGTCAAAAATAAACAAAAGTGGTCTATGATGCTAGATGTCAGAACAGTGGTTATATTGTTGGGGTGTGGACAGTGACTGGCATATCCCAGTCACCGTGGTGAGGGGCACACAGGGGATTTTTGGAGTAGTGATACTGTTCTGTGTCTCCATATGGAAGATGGTTACACGGGTGTGTCACCTTATTAAAATTCATTGCACTTATGACAGACTTGTACATTTTTCTATATATATGTTATATGTGGTAGATTGCACTATTGCCCCTAATCCTTCGCTGTCTCTCTACGGGGGACAGAGTACACTGCCTTGTCCTACTGATGTTGGGTTTGGCCAATAGGAGGTTAGATGGTATGGTGTGAGCAGAGACATGAAATGCGTTTGCCCTCTTGGGTTTCTGCCATAGCCATGATAATATACCTCAGAGAGCTGCTGCTCTTTTAGCCTGATTCACAGAATAAAATACACAGAACAGACTGAGCTAGACCTGGAGCCTGGAGCCTGAAGTCAGGCCTAGCCATTCAAATTGTGGCCGATTGTGAGGAGAAAAAGATGGTTGTTTTAAGCCACTGAATGTTGATTTGCTTTGTCATGCAGCATTATTGTGGCATTAGCTGACTGATACATTATTCTTTGACAAAAAAGTACTTTAAGATCTCTACGCTCCACTTTTCTAATAGTCACCTGTTTCAATTTAAAGTTACCAACACCCATCTCTAGCACTTATATGACCTATTCATGTCATCAATCAAGTGCATCTCAGTTTCCTTGTCTCTGAAATGGGATGACGCTTACTTTACATGCTCTTGGGAGGATTCAATGAGCCAGTAGAACTAAAAGCACTTTGTAAATTGCAGAACACAACTTGAAAGTGATGGATGACGGAAGTGAGGTTGGAAAGCAAGCATGTGACAGGCAAAGCCACTTCCTCCCATTCATGGAACATCTTGGCTCAAAAGGTGAGGGCACAGTGTGGGGAGGAGGTTAGGGTACAAAAGTCAGGGCCTGCCCTAGAGCAATGACCAAGCTTCTGAGCATAGTTCTGTGGGGCCCAGACTGCCTTGGGAGATGGTGATGATGCTGGGGCCTCTAGAAGGCCAGCTTATACACAGACAAAGCAGGCAATACAGGACACCAGGAAGGCCACTGCTGCCCTCAGATCTACCCCCCACCCATGACCTTCTACATGTCTGAAGAGCCACCATCAGTGTTTCCTTTAATTGGCCTGTGGTGCTGGGTGCCTTACTGCCTTTCTCACAGCACCTCTCAGTTCACAAAGAACAGGCCCATCTGTTCTCTCATCTTGGTACTATTTCCATTGTGTGGATAAAGAACCTGAGACTGTGGGAGACTGAGTGATTCCTGCAAAGCTACTTACTTAACTGGATTTGCAACAGGTTTTCTGACCAAAGATTAGAAAGGGAACTCACTGATGTGGGCAAGAATTCCATCGTTAGATAACCCAGTTGGATCCTCAGAAAACAGACGGCGCTGGCCTGAGGGACAGGACCAGTAAGTTTTGACAGGGGAGAGGGGAAAAATGGATTTGGAGTATTGGGTAAGTAGTGGACTTTGAAGGTGGGAGCTAGAGGGGATGGGGAAGATGAGGGAGGAATGGCAGACGGCTGCGCTGGTCTGCTAAGGAGCGGTCGGGGCAGCAGGAGAGAAAAGAATCAGACAGGATGCCAGGTAGGTACAGGGACTCCGCAGCCCTGCCTCATCTCCAACAGCAACAGTGTGGGGTGATGCTGTCACCACATTCTGCAACAAGAACTCCCCTTGCAGACCCTCCCACTGCCCACCTGGTTGGAGGGTGTGAGGTAGAATACCAGGCTTGTCTCCCACCACGCTGGTCTTCTTCCTTGCCAGCCCCTGCGATGGCTGACTGCCTGGCCTGAGACTAGTTCCCGTAGCCAGTACAGACCTCACTATCAAGATGCTGAGAGCTGCGACAGCAAAGGAGGTCCTTGAACAAAGCTGTATTTAAACAAACACACACTTCCTTTAGAGCACTAATACCAAGGACCCATTTCCGCTGATTCAACAAAACACAGCAACCCTCAAGGCAGGGGGTGGGAGGGGGAGCCTTGCTATTTTCTTTGCAACAATTTTCACACGGGTGGGTGGAGAATTTCCTTTGGCAAGGTGAGCTGTCACTGCTCCTTCCCTGGGTGCTGTCTCAGCTTGGCTCTGCCCTGAAGCAACCTTCTTCCCCTGTCTCTGGTCCCAAGTCTGTTCTGTGGCTGCGACCTACCTCTGTGGTCCGGAGGCCATTCTGTTTCTGGGTCAAGGGGCCTGAGCTGAGGCCCTGGGGATTTGGGCACTGGGTCCCACAGCTCATCTTCTTCTCTGGGTTGGATATTCCACTTGGGGCTGTCGATCGGGGCACACTGTTGGAGGACATGCCATCTTCCAGCCCACCTGGGGGAGGGAAGCAGAGGATGCGACTAGAGTCTTGCACATAGCAGTTACTGAAAACAATCTCCAAGAGTGTGGAAAAAAAAGACAGCCAAAAACAAGAAAAAAAAGTCAAGCCGAAATCCCACCATGCAGAGCTACCATTTTCTATAAGAACATGTGTCGTTTTTTTTTTTTTTACAAAAATGAGACTTTAAAATAATTTTGTAACCTGAAATTTCTACTTAATAATACATCAATGACATTTTTCTATACCCTTAAATACTCTGCCATATTATTTTTCACATACTTCCTCTGTCATTGTATGGATGTGTCACATTTAACTAAACCCCTCTAATTGGATATCTGTTTTCACTTTTTCATATCAAATGTTACTATGATGAAATTCCTTGGGGTTAAAGCTTTATTCTTAATTACTTCCTTAGGATAAATTCCTAGAAGTGGGTTACTGGTTTGAAGTTTATATATCGTTTTTTACATAATTCCACCTCAAGGTATTGGACTGAGCATGTGTTCCTTCCATGAAATGCCAAGAAATGATAGAATGAAGTTTAAATATAGCCTAATTGAAAAGCAAGAGGAGGGAATTCCCTGGCAGTCCAGTGGTTAGGACTCTGCATTTACAATGCCAAGGGCATGGGTTCAACCCCTGGTCTGGTCAAGGAACTGAGATCCCACAAGCCACGTGGCATGGCCAAAAAAAAAAAAAAACAAGCAAGAGGAGGACTACAGAGAGAAATTCATGGATAAAGAGTATCTGATTGAAAAGATAAAATGCAGTCCAGGGAGCGTGAGGGCGAGTGCCAAGTGGGAGACGAGAAGCCAGCAGAGGCTCTGTCATGGCCACAGGGAGGCCAAGGGCAGCCAGGTAGGTCAGTCATTCTATTCCTCCACCAGCTGAGGCCAGATGGCAATGACAGAGCAGTCTGTGAGGGTAAGACATTGTGATATAAAAAGAAATATATATTTGGTCTTTGTCCCCAGTTCCTGGCATAGAGTTCCTAAAACTCTTGCCATTTCCTGAGTTAACAGGGGTGATAGCAGCATCTTTTGTTACAACATTTGGTATTTGCTCGCACTTCATGACACAGAGCTCCCAAATTCCTTGGAATTCCATGAGTGATAGGACACAGAGGAGCCCTATTTGTTATAACAAGGCAGCTCCTGGTGGCCCCTAGATAGCTTCAGATGGGGGCTGGTTGCCAGGAAGACCTAACCTTGATTAGGAGCTTGGAACTTTCAGCCCCACCTTCTAACCTCTGGGGAGGGGAGAGGGGCTGGAGATTGAGTTAGTAATTGATGATGCCTCATGATGAAACCTCCATAAAAATCCCTAAGTGACAACGTTTGGGGGAGCTTCCAGGTTGGTGAAAGCATATATGTGCTGGGAGGGTGGCACACGCCAACTCCACAAAGTCAGAAGCTTGTCAGAAGCTCCTGTACTTGGAACTCTTTTGGAGTTCTTGTACCTCTTTATCTGGCTGTTCATTTGTTTCATTTATAATATCTTTTACAATAATCTGGTATACATAAGTAAAGTGTTCCTGAGTTCTGTGAGTCATTCTAGCATATTACTGAACCTGAGGAGGGGGTATGAGAACCCTGATTTATAGCCAGCTGGTCAGAAGTACAGGTGGCAGCCTGGGACTTGCAACTGGTGTCTGAAGTGGGGGAGAGACAGTCTTGGGGGACTGGGCCCTTAACCTGTGGGTCTGTGCTAACCCCAGACAGTTAGTGTCAGAATTGAATTGAGTAGTAGGACACCCAGTTGGTGTCTGGAGAGTTGGAGAATTGGTTGATTTAGGGGATAAAAACCCACACATTTAGTGTCAGAAGTATAGTTGAGTAGAAACAGCACAGAGAGGGCCTTGGCTCAGAGAGAAGGGCAGTGCTCTCAGGGGCTAGTGACACCTGAGAGAAAGAGAAAAGTCATGCCACGAAGGCTTGCTATCTGAAAACAGTACCAGTAGAGTAAGCCAATAGTTGTTTCCATCCTTGCCTTCCAAGCTGGCTTCTTAAAGAGATGTAGCTGATGTTGTAACAGGAAATTTCAGTGACAGAAATTAGTACAAAAATAAGAATATACAAACAGTTGGAGAAGGTCAACACCAAAAAAGAGAGACAACAGACTCTATAATGGAGACCTCAAAGGAAATGGAATTAATACAGGATGTAGCACAGAATTTTAAATAAGTGTATTTAATCTGCTCAGAAAAATAAGGGAAGGTAATATGAGGACAAGACTGACCAAAAAGGTTCAATTAGAAATATTTGGAATAATAGTTTCGGCTTTTTAAAAATTTATTTATTTTTGGCTGTGTTGGGTCTTTGTTGCTGCGCGTGGGCTTTCTCTAGCTGCGGGGAGTGGGGACTACTCTTCATTGTGGTGTGTGGGCTTCATTGCGGTGGCTTCTCTTGTTGCAGAGCACGGGCTCTAGGTGCGCAGGCTTCAGTAGTTGTGGCTCGCGGGCTCTAGAGCACAGGCTCAGTAGTTGTGGCGCACGGGCTTAGTTGCTCCGCAGCATGTGGGATCTTCCTGGACCAGGGATTGAACCCGTGTCCCCTGCATCGGCAGGCGGATTCTTAACCACTGCGCCACCAGGGAAGCCCCTGAAATAATAGTTTTAACTGTTGAAATGAAGTTTAAAAACTCAATAGAGAAGCTGAATAGCAGAACAGGCACAGTTAAAGAGCAATTTGGTGAACTGGAAGAGCAAGCCAAGGAACTCTCCTGGAAGGGGTAAGTGAACGTATGAAAAACACATTAAGAAACACAGAATAGGGCTTCCCTGGTGGCACAGTGGTTGAGAGTCTGCCTGCCGATGCAGGGGACACGGGTTCGTGCCCCGGTCTGGGAGGATCCCACATGCCGCAGAGCGGCTGGGCTCGTGAGCCATGGCCTCTGAGCCTGCACGTCCAGAGCCTGTGCTCCGCGACAGGAAAGGCCACAACAGTGAGAGGCCTGCGTACCTCAAAAAAAAAAAAAAAAAAGAAAAGAAAGAGACACAGAATAGAAATCCAGAAATTACAACCTTAATCTAAGAGGAGTTCCAGAAAGAAGGAACAGAAAAAAATTGAGCAGAAGCAATACTCACAGAAATGATACTAAGTATTTCTCAGAACTGACAAAAGACATGAAAGCCCAAATTGAAATAGCCTACCAAGGGAATGTAAATTGGTGCGGCCATTATGAAAAATCGTATGGCGGTTCCTCAAAAAACTAAAAATAGAGTTGCCATGTGATCCAGCAATCCCAATCTTGGGCATATACCCAGACAAAACTATAATTCAAAAAGATACATGCACTCTTATGTTCACAGTGGCACTATTTATAATAGCCAAGACATGGAAACAACCTAAACGTCCATCGACAGATGAATAAAGAAGATGTGACATATATATAGACAGTGGGATGTCACTCAGCCATAAAAAAAGAATGAAATAATGGCAACATGGATGGACCTAGAGATTATCATACTTAGTGAAGTCAGAAAGAGAAAGACAAATATCGTACGATATCACTTATATGTGGAATCTAAAATACCCCACAAGTGAACATATCTATGAAACAGAAACCGACTCACAGACATAGAGAACAGTCGTGTGGTTGCCAAAGGGGAGGAGAGGTGGGGGAGGGAAGGATTGGGAGTTTGGGATTAGCAGATGCAAACTAGTATATATAGAATGGATAAATAACAAGGTCCTACTCTATAGCACAGGGAACTATATTAAACATCCTGTGATAAGCCATAATGGAAAAGAATATGAAAAAGAATATATATGTATAACTGAGTCATTTTGCTGTACAGCAGAAATTAACACAACATTGTAAATCAACTATACCTCAATAAAATTTTTAAAATGTATATGAAATAGCCTACCACGCACTTGGCAGGACAAATAAAAAGAAAAACGCAACCCAGAGAGATCTTAGTGAAATTTCAGAATGTCATTGATAACAAAAGTTTCAGAAGAGGGAAAAAAGTCAAGAATGAGATTGACATCAGGCTTTTCATCAGCAACTAACAGATGTAAGGAAACTATGCAATGTCTTCAAGATTTCAAAAGATATACACATTTTAAAGTCTTTTGCAATTCATTGCCAGATTTATCTCTATAAGTCTTTCTCCAATCACCCTATTGCCCTTCTGCTAACAGTATATGAAATGGCAATGTTCCCAAAACCCTCACAAACACTGAACGTTTTCTTGCTTCTTATCTTTGCCAATTTAAGAGGCAAAATAAATTATCTCATCGCTTTGGTTTATATTTCTTTATTTACTAGAGATGTTATTTATGTTCCTGTTGGCTAATTGCATGTATGTGTTTTTTAATTGTCAAGTCATTTGCCTATCTTACTTTTGGGGTGATAGCCTAGGTTTGCTTTCAATGAAACTTGAGGAAAACAAACAAAATCCTTTCCCAGAGTGTTGAGAAATTATTTGCCATGAGGCAGGCACAGTGTATCTGATATACTAAGGGAGGAAGGAGCAGAACTGATGAGGCTGCAGTCCCAATGCAGCTGAGGGGGTAATGATCCAAAGGACACACGTGTCCACGTGTCACCCACCTGCTCTGCAAAGTGCAGGCTCTCGACCATGGCCATGGGAATGAAATCAGAATTCAGAGCATTGTAAGTCACAATAGAAGATGCCTGGTCCAAAGTTTCCTGACTGGCATGCACTGTGATTAAGTTCCAGATGTGCAGAGAAATGGATGCCTTCAGCTGGGCTCACCCCAAATCTTTGTGTCCCTCTTCCCCCACCAGCTGGCAGGCTGCCCCCCTTCTCTTCCCATCCTCCCACCATCCTGTATCAACAGTGCCTCAGATGCATGTGTATAGACGCCCCAGTACACATACTCAATCTCCATCCCCACTGCTCCTGCAAACAGCTGTCCCTTGGCCTAGGGGAGTGCAAACCCAGAGAATGAATCAGGTGAAGAGGCCCATGAAGACCTTGGAAGCAGGTTTGGTGTGATTTGGGCTGGTAATTCCAGGGTCC